GTCTGAGGACCTGTGGTTTGGGGCTCATGGACGGGAAATTGGGACGTCCCTCCTCCAGAGAGAGTTGCACCTGTTTCTGCCGGGAGGCAGGAGAACCACTACTTTGGAACTAGTCTTGTTCCCTCCAGGGCCCGGCATGCAAGGCGAGAATCGGCCCGTGTCCTCGGGAACCCCAGTGTCCATTTCGGGTGGCCAGAGTGGCTAATTCAGCATTTGCACTGATGGCAAATTCAAGACCCCATTTCCTGTTTTATTTTTTTTTTCAGTTTTACTTTTGCATTGTATTTTCCCATTACCATTTAGTCCCCTTCTCCTTCCCTCCCGCCCCCCGCACAATCTCTTGCAAGTCCACGAGTCCTTTTTCTTTCTTGCTCGGTCCCTCCACCCCCTCCCCTCCCCAGCCCCGACAGCCGTCCCCTGCTCTCCGTCTGCGAGTCTGTCTCTGTTTTGCTGGTTAGTCCAGTGTGTTCACTAGATGCCACGTATGAGCGAGATCACATGGTACTTGTCTTTCTCCGACGGGCTTATTGCACTTAGCACCATGCTCTCCAGGCCCACCCATGCTGTCGCCGAGGGTAACGTTTTCTTCTCTGTCACGGCCGAGTAGAATCCCACTGTGTAAAGGTCCCGTAGTTGTTTCGTCCCCTCGTCCGCTGATGGGCACGTGGGCTCTGGTTTCTTTATTCCCCGGGTTTCGCCTCACCATCCTTGTTGACTTTTAGCTTTCGGTTTCAGTTTTTGTTTGAAAAATGGGGTTGCTTAAAGAGTGGCTTCACCTCCCAGGAGTCCAGCGATGCATCTGGAGACAGGGTTCATCCAGGGTCCGGGAGTCCGGTAGTCAAGGGACGCTAGTGTGTTCGGGTCACGCGCCCACTGAAGTAACAGGTGCTCCACTGTCTTCCCGCACCGGACCCCTTCGGGGAGTCGCTGTGGGGCGCGGGGCTCTCTGCGCGGGCCTCACCTGATCGGATTCCACGCAGGTGGTGTGCAGGGGGTTCAAGGGCCCCCCCGCCCAGATTTTAGCAGGGTGTCGTTTTGCCCCTAGCCTGCCCTTGTCCACTTCAATGGTCATTTCTGCCAGGATTCCTTCGCTTGCCCTCTTTCCAGGTTTCGCTCCTGAACGGAGGAGGGACAGAGGGACACCCCGCACCGGCTTGCCAGCCTCGCCCTTGACTTCCCCTGCTTCTGCGTCGCAACATCGGCAGCAGGTCACTTCCGTGCCCTGGACTCATTGCTACAGATACGTTTTGGCCTGGATTTCTGAACCCATGTTTTGCTCATTTTGATCAGCACCGGAGAGACACAGTCTGTGGTCTTGCTTTGCTCTCTCATTTCGCCTGGGAGTCTGGCAGCCGCGTTTCGAAGAGCCCCTCGGAGGGCCGGTCATCGCAGAGCCGAGCGTGGGGCATCTGAGCCACAACCAAGCTGGGACGGGTAAGCAGGGCAGAGCAGGCTCGGGGGCCGCGCTGGCGTCAGAGAGCCCCCGCCTGTCACTCTGTTTAACTGAAGCCTTTGAGATGCGAACAAGCGTGAAATGATTCCATGCAGCGCAGTTCAAAGACAGGCGCAATCCAGTGTGGCAGGTCCCCGGTAATTTCACGTAAGCACCATGTGACCAGCGGGTCTGCCGCTGAGCGCACACCTCAAGGAACCGAGAGCGGGGGCTGGAGCAGACCCCAAGGAACCGAGAGCAGGGGCTGGAGCAGACCTGCGCGCCCCGGCGCTCCAAGCAGCGTCGCTCACGGCAGCGCAGAGACCTAAACGACGACCCACAGGTCTCCTTATGGCCGAACAGGCTGACACATGCGGGCTGTGCATGTAGGGAAATACGATTCGGCCCTGAAAGAAGGGCATTCGGACACACGCCACAACGTGAACGAATCGTGAACACACTGTAGTAAGTGAAATAAGCCAGAAACAAAAGGACCCAATATTGTGTAGTTCCACTTACCGGAGGTCCCAGAGGAATCGGAGTGATGGGGGGCAGAGAGGAGAAGGGGGGGCTGGGCGGTGGGGGGGCAGGGAGAATGCGGGTTCGTGTTTGGTGGGGACAGAGCTCCAGCTGGAGGTGCCGAGAAAGTTCTGAAGGTGGACGGTGGTGACAGTCGTGCAACAGTGTGAGCGTGTTGAATGCCACAGCAAAGAAGGGCTTCCGGATTCTGGAATGTTCTGCATTCCAAGTGGTGGCTCCATGAGTATACAGATTTATAAATATTCACTGCACCGTCCACTTAAGATTCCTACACTTTCAAATATGGACATTTAAAAAAAATTTCAAGCAGATAAAAGCAGAGAACTTTTTATATATTTTTTATTTATTTATTTTTAGAGAGGGAAGGGAGGGAGAAAGAGAGAGAGAGAGAGAAACATCAATGTGTGGTTGCTGGGGGCCGTGGCCTGCAACCTAGGAATGTGCCCTGACTGGGAATCGAACCTGCAATGCCTTGGTTTGCAGCCCGAGCTCAATCCACTGAGCTACACCAGCCAGGGCAAAGCAGAGAACTTTTTAAAAAAATTCCACGAGCAGAACTTTCTAAGTCCCAGGCAGAGAGGAGCCAGGCGTCATGGCACTGAGGACAGCAAACCTGTGACCCAGACTGGACCCCCCCACACTCCCCCCGCCCACGGCAGAGCCACCTGGAGTAACCAACCGCAGCCCTGTGTCCCCTGTGGTGTCGTGCACCCACATCAAAGCCACCCTCGAGAGCATGATTGAGCTTTTCTCTCTTGCCCAGCTTCTTACTGCTATTGCTAGCTGGCCTATTTTTATATCACTGGCAATTTTCTGTTTCACAGTCGGACCGTGTTAAATTCTGCTCTTCTGTTTTCAAGCTGCCTCACTGCCGAGTCCTCGTCACGTGGGGAGCCCGGAAGCGGAGGCGCACCTCTGCCCACCTGCGGAAGGTCTATGACCCTATGAGCCCCTGACCCTACGACCCCCGACCCTGGTAGTCAGGAGCTCCCCAGGGCTGGGAGAGGGAGCCTGAGCTGCCAGGTGTGGGAGGAGCCACGGGAAGCACCCCTCCCCAACCTGGAAGAATAAAGCCCTAATCACTTACTACTAAAGGTAGTGTAAGCAAGAGTGTAAAACCCAAGAAAGTACCCAATGCCCCCTTCTCCTTGTTTCCGTGGAAAGAGGTGCCCCTGGGGGGAGAGAGGGACCCTCTCACTGTTGCCGGGGAAAGAGAACGAAGACCCCCTGGGGCAGGGGAGGGCGGAGAGGGAAAGTACTGGGTGCTGAGCCAGTGGGGAAAACAGGGTTTTCCCCCTGCTTTTTCCTGTCCCCCCTCCAACAAGGAGGCCTCCTTAAAGGCACCTGAAGAAGACAGAGGTCTTGGCTGAGAACAGGTGACTGGCCAGGGCCTGAGTCCTTGGCTGCAAGGCCCACAGAGGTGGCCCTGAACTCCGTGCTCGAGTCCTGTGTGCACGGCAGCCTGGGAATCGCCTATGGTCGCACCTGCCGATCACACTCAGGTACTGAATTGGGAGCTGGACGGAGGGACATCTCATAGTGCGGGTCTCCTGCCCTCTCTTGGTGGGCAGTGGGGGTTAGAACACCCACCCCCGTGGGGCAGTGAGAAGGAACTTCCGGAGCTCCCACCGTCAGCAACCCCACCGTGGCCTGGGGAGCCCAGCGCCCCTGTTGGTTTTCCAGGCCCCGATGCTTTGGGCCAGTGATGGGCCAAGCCAGCCACCCACCTTGACCTCCAGAAGGGCCCCCTCTGCCTCCAACTGGGCTCTCGCTGACCGGGCCTGAGTGTGGCCCTTCAGGACTGGCCGGGGGGAGCAGCTGGGAGAGAAGACGGGCCCTGGGCATTTCCTGCACTCCCTCCTCCCCAGCCCTGGACGGACCCTGCACGACCTCCCCACGCCAGGGGGGACTCCACGCCAGCAAACGGTCCAGAGCACTCGGGCCCGCAGCCTGGGCCTTCTCCGCCACCAGATGGCCAAGCGGCCCCTGCCCAGGCTCACCCTTCCTGGCAGGAGGATGGCCGGGAGTCCAATGGCTCTGCTACAGGTTCCCGGACCCTCTTGTCCCCGCCCCTGTCCCTGCCCCTGTCCCTGTCCCTGCACCCTCTTCCCTGGGAGGCGTCCTCCTCCTCCCTCTGCTCTGTCCTCCTGCCGCAGACTCCAGGAGGCCTTGGTGCAGCGCGTTACCGAGCTCGTCTCCATGTAAAATGCCATGTTTTGCTTATTGTGAATTTTTGGCATGAATCTTGACTCTTCACAATATTGCATTAAAACATTATGTATCTCGATCACTGAGGGGTTGGGTGGCCCCTTAAGCTGTGCACCCAAGGGTGCTCCTCACTCAGCTGGCCTTAACCCCAGCCCTGCTGTGCTCAGGGGAGAGTCCCTCATCACCCACCGTCACCCACGGGCACCGAGGGCCTCCTCTGCCGGGGCGTGTGCTGGGTGCCGGGGAGAGGAGTGCCAGCCACTCACCGCCAGGGTGGGGCAGACAGCCTGGGACACGGAGGACTGTGGGACGGCGCGGGGAGGTGCGAGACGAGAGGACCCTGGGGGGATCAACATGATCCCGACTCACCCTTGGGGGTTACTGTGGCCAGGTCTGAGCCCAGGTCTGGCCCTGCGGCATCAAGGCGGGTCCTCTCAGCGACCTTTCGATGGTTTGGGCGCTCGTAAGTAGCAGATGGGGATCCTCAAGCTTGGCAAAGTCACACGTGGGGAATTGGCACAAGGTCACACTCTGAGCAGTAGTGGGCGTGGGCCCAGGTGTCTCTGGGCTCTCCCCTGCTCTGGGCATCGCAGCCACCTCCCCCTGCACCCCCCTGCGGCCCCGGGGGAGGCTGCCCGGAGGAGCTCAGCAAGGAGCCGACAGGCGGAGGAGGGTGTGTAGGAGTTCCCAGGGAGACGGGGTGGGCATTAGCAGAAGGAATGTCTGAAAAATCAGGAAGGCTTAGAATGAAAATTGACATCCTGGTGTCCGCAGTTCTAAGAAGCGGGCGATCCTACGAAAAGCCACTTGAACAGAAACGGGCCTGGGCACCGCTTCCTCTTTCTGCTTCTGTTTCCTAACAACGTCAGCATAAATAGGAAGCGCGAGAGGCACAGCCGCCCGAGGCTCCAGCAGGAGGTCGGTCTGTCCCACCAGGGAGAGGTATGGCCCGGCTTGAGAGGTGGGGTGGCGGGCAGGGGAGTGTGGGGAGACTGGGACAGAAGGGACAGGGAGAGGCTGGGGGAGGGGGGTTGGGTAGGCAGGTGTGCTCTGGGGACTTGGGGAGGTTGGGGTCTGACCTCTTGGAAAGACCTGAGCCCGGACTCCCAGGGCAGCCGGTGGCTGAGGAGGCAGCCCGGGTGCCGACCTGCGTGGGTTCTGTGTGAGGGACTTGGGGAGAGGACGGGCCCCACTGGTGGGCTCCTACTGCCCTGGTGGGGAGTGGTGAGGGTGGAGAGCTCAGACCTGCGAGTCGGACACCGTGTCCCCTCCCTCTCTGCTTTGTTTACTAAGGTGTCTCTAGGTGTGGAAGCAGTGGGGACATTTACTTTCTGCTCTGGGCTTCTGTGGGAAGAGTGCCATAGGCCTGACACCCTGTGGGGCGGGGGGCAGAGAGAGAGGGAGCGCACAGGACGTCTGTGGGAAGCGGGGATGCAGGAATGTGGAGGCTGAAGGGGAAGCCGGGGAGGGGGGGGGGTGCCCTCGGTGCTCAGGCCCAGGGCCTGGTGCGGCTTGGGAAGCTCACTTCGCCCTGAAGTGCTCTCACTTAGCTGGGTGTGTGTTCTGTCCTCAAGTGTGCCGCCCGGGGCGGGTGGGGGGAGGCCAGACAGGCGTCCAGGGGTGTCTGCACACACGCGCAGGTGCGTGCAGGTAGGCGCAGGTGTGTGCATCGGCCCCGTGGCGGGCAGGGCAGGTGTTGCGGGGCCCGAGCCAGGGCACGGGGCCGTGGGGCCTCGCCACACAGCCTTTAGTGACGGGTTGCTGGTGCGTGGTTTCTCCTCCTCCAGGGCCCTGCTACATTTCGTGTGACCCGATTCCGATTTTCTCTGCCTGTCACCCTTCCTGCTGCCTAGTAGTGTCACATGGGTAGAACCTTTCCTAGGACTCTCACCCACTCTTTCTTCCCTCATCAGCTTTTCCCCCTGTGGGCTGTATCCACCAGCACTGCAGGCGAACGCAGCTCATGAGCGTCTTTAATATTAAACAAGCGAATGCACGGGCAGCTGCTCTGTGAGAAATTGGAATAATCTGAAATTACGCAGCAGAAAAGACAAAGTCCTGGTCACCTCTGTCCTCCAGTCCCACATCCCACCCTCGTCATCATCCCATCCTTCCACAGCATTTTCTAAGGGTAGTGTACGTACATAGTTTCTCTTTCTTTTTTTTAAATCCTCACCTGAGGATATATTTTTATTGATTTGAGAGAGAGAGGAAGGGAGCGAGATAGAAAGACCAACTCGAGAGAGAAACGTGGATTGATTGCCTCCCACACATCCCGGGGATCAAACCTGCAACCTAGGTGTGTGCCCTGACCAGGATTCGAACCCGCCACCTTTTGGTGTATGGAACGATGCTCCAACCAACTGAGCCACCTGGCCAGGGCAGTATATATTTTTTCTGTATACATAAATGGGATGATTACATACATATTGTTCTATGACTTATTTTCTCACCGAATAATGTCTTAGCAACTTTCCACAATAATACACACAGATTTAATTCATTTACTGACCCTAAGCAGTGTGTGGCATTTATCAGTGCGGACACGCCGCAGTCTACCCAGTCCCTTATCCACACTTAGGCTGTTTCCGACTTTCCCACACCCGCGAACGCGACTCTGCAGCCCAGATCCCTAGAGGCAGAATTTCTGGGCAACATGAGACAATGCGCTTAAAAATGTATACAGATCTTTTCAGATCATCCTGAAGGTCGCAGAATTAACATGCACCCACACGGTCGTGCATGAAAAGGCTGACTTCTCTTTAGAAAAAGAATCTTTTAATTGGGCCCAAAGGAATGGATGAACATGATCTGGCTCTTCTTGGATTTTTTTCTCTGATTACGAGCGAAGTCGTGCGTCCTCACCAAATGGACTCCTTTGATGACGCCCACGGGAGTGTCCTTTGTCCCCTTTCTGACGGGTTCCTTGACTTGTACACCTTCACTTTGGAAATGAGTCAGTCTTTTGTGCGTTAACAATTTATTTGCATGGGTTGAAAACATATCTTCCTGATGGTCACTTGTCTATTGTTGTCACCACATGGAAGATACCTTGTTTCATTTAAAAAATGTGTTAATTGCTTCTAAATCGAATCTGTGTGATTGTTTCCTTAGAGCTTTCTAGATTTCATGTGTGGTTCAAGCCCTAAGGTTAAAGAAATATTTGTGATGCTTTTATCATTTTAGTTTGATTTTTAGATCTTCGATCCACCTAGAATTGAGAGAGGAGGGTGCTATGTAAAGTAATAATCTAACTTAAAAAGCTATCAGCTAATTGTGGCAATATCGTCAATGGCGTGTATGCAGCCCATCCTGGCCTCGGTGGTTTGAACTGCCATCACAGCTCCCTGATGAGGTCCTACTTGCGTATTCTCCTTGCTGTATTCTGTCCTATCTGTCTATTATTATCTTCCCTATCATTTGTGTAGCTAATAGAGCGGGTCTCTCATCTTTGGCTTGTTATCATTTACAATGAGTCTGTCACACCTATTAAAAATCCTGTTGAAGCTTGTTTGGGAATTTTAGTGGAGACTGCGTTGAGTTTAGAGATGATTCGGGAGCAGACTGACCATGAGGGGCAGCCTCTCCTGTGCGCCTCTGCCTGGGGGGGCCCTGACGTTCTCTCTGCCTCTGATGTAGCCACAGGCTTCTAGCAGATGAGCAGAAACGCCAGCCACCTCTCCTCCTCTCCTCACTCGCCGGGGTTGTTTGTTTGTTTGTTTGTTTAATCAGGAATGGCTTTTGTACCAAATGGCTTTTGCATCAATTATTTAGGAGCGTCTACCAAGATAAACTTACCTGGCCCTGGCTGGCGTAGTTCAGTGGATTGAGCGCGGGCTGCGAACCAAAGTGTCGCAGGTTCGATTCCCAGTCAGGGCACATGCCTGGGTTGCAGGCCATGACCCCCAGCAACCGTACATTGATGTCTTTCTCTCTCTCTATCTCCCTCCCTTCCCTCTCTAAAAATAAATAAATAAAATCTTAAAAAAAAAAAAAGAAATTTACCTGCCCTAGCTAGTGTGGCTCAGTTGGTTGGAGCGCCCTCACTGTAACCAGAAGGTTGTGGGTTCAGTTCCCGGTCAGGGCACATACCTAGGCTGCAAGTTCGATCCTCGGTCCAGGCGCGTGTGATCCCCAGTCCTGGCACAAACAGGAGGCAACCAATTGATGCTTCTCTCTCAAATCAACGGTCTCTCTCTCCCTTCCTCTCTCTCTTTTTCTCTCTCTAAAAACAATGAAAAAAAAGTCCTCGGGTAAGAATAAAATAATTAATAGTAATAATAAAGATAAACTTACCCATTTTCCTCTTTACTCTGTCCATGTGTTTCTTTTTACCACAAATAGATTTCTCAACAGCTCTCTGTCAGACTGTGCTCTGAAACTGTTTTTCTCTGCAGTGAACTTGGGTTTCTGTTTTCATTTCCAGTTTTTATTCCTACCATCAAAGTTCTCCACAAGTTTGGGAATTTTGAGGGGTGTGTTTGTTTTGAGCGAGAAGGTATTTGGTTTTTCTCTTCTCGTTCTCCCCTCCCTCCTTCTCCTTTCCCTCTGGGTCATCCTCTTGCCCCCGCGGTTACCTCTGACTCTGAGTGACCTTTCGCCCTTAGGGTTTTAACACACGTATTTTCCGTCAGCAGCGGGGCTTCATCACCGTGTGCACCCGCTTCCAAAACAGGGCAAGATCCTTATGAGGCAGGCTTTCACTTCTCCTGTGCTGCCCACCCCACCCTCACAGCCAACTGAAGCATTAAAATCATCTGAATTTTTAATTTAATGCTGTTATCTTGTACTGATTTCTTTTCCCTCTATTCAGTGACAACTCTTTACGTAACCGTAAGTCTTACTGGTTTATTTTCTCCCCACTGATTCCAGTATGACATTCTTTCTTTCTTTCTTTCTTGGATTTTTTTTTTAATACATCCTAGAGTCATTTTTCAGAAAAGATGTAAAACCCTTTTTTGGTCCTTACATTTTCAAAATGTTGTGTGGGGGGGCGGGGGGAGGTTGGCCCTTGAACTTCAAAGTAAGCTTGATGTTTTATGAGTCTAGGTTTAAACATGTTTTCAAGACAGCACTATCTGTTTAGAGTTCAGAGTCACTAACTTCTTGAGAAAAATCTTTCCCACCTGATCCTTGCTGCATTAAAAATAACCTGTGTGTTCCCTTCCTTCTGGAAGCTTCTAGGACTACACTTTTATTCTTGGATGACTGGAAGTTCGCCAGTGTATGACTGAGTATGGCGCTATTCAAAATTAATCTGGCTCTTCACTCAGTGAACTATCGCCTCCTTCAAAGCCCTGGGACATTTTCTTCTGTTTCTAATTGTATCTATTTGGGTGCACAAGGAAACATCCCCAAATGACAGTGGTTTAACGATACAGAAGTTCATTTTTCTCTCACATAAAAGAGGTGTAAAAGTAGGCAGTTCCAGGCTGGTGCGGTTGCTTCACAGTGAAAAGATGGGTGCCGGTTTCCCTCTTGCTGTTGCACTCGGCTTTCATCCTCAAGGTAACCTTATGGTCCAAAACAGCTGCTGGAGCTCCGGCCATCACTTCCAAGTTTCAGGCTGGAAGGAGGAGGAAAGGTAGGAGAACAAAAATGGATCTCTCCCACTTGAGCCAACTCCCTTTAAACGACCTTTTTGGATAGCTCGTCTAATGTGTCCACTCACATCTCCCTGGACAACATTTAGTCACATGACCATACCCAACGATAAGAGGCTGTAGGGAATAGTCGTTTATTCTGTGCAGCGAAAGTTCCAGGTAAAACCTGAGCTTCTAAGCCCTGGCTGGTGTGGCTCAGTGGATTGAGCGCGGGCTGGGAATCAAAGTGTCCCAGGTTCGATTCCCAGCCAGGGTACATTCCTGGGTTGCAGGCCATAACCCCCAGCAACCACACATTGATGTTTCTCTCTCTCTCTCCCCCTCCCTTCCTTCTCTCTCTCTAAAAATAAATAAATAAAATCTTTAAAAAAATAAAACAAAAAAAATAAAATAAAAGCCCAGAATACATAATGGGAAACATTTATAAAAAAAACAACAACAACAACAAAAAAACCTGAGCTTCTGTCAGCTCGTTGCCTGACACTGTGTCCCACACCTGCCCTCAGCTCTCTCTGCCCTCTGCTTCTAGATGCTGGGACTCCCGGGTTTCGTGTCCAGGTGTCCACTTCCCTCGAGGACGTTCGCTCTCCTTGCCCTTTCTCTCTGTCTTTAATATGCGCCATCGCCACGTGGTTGTTTGTAGTCTCCGTTCCATAATTTGGCCCATTACCGAGGTTTTCTCTAGAATTACGGCTGTGTTACCATTAAATTCCAAGACCTCTGTTTATTTGTTCTCTGCATAGCGGCTTATTCTTTCGAATGGCTGTAATTTCTCCGATCTCCCTGAGGGCGCTCGTTCAGATGTTCCGAAGCGTTAGTGTGTTTTGGTGGCGTTTACGCATGCCCGTAGACGCGTCCACAAGAGTGTTGGGTGGGGGTACGGCACAGCGGACTGGGAAACACAACCGCTGTTGATGCGGTGGTTAAGAGCACAGACTCCGGCGCCCACCCACCACGGCCTTCGGTCCCAGGCTGTCATCGTGGACCACTTACCTGTTTCCTCATCGACAAAGTGGGGATTCTCACAGTAACCAACACATGCATTATTAATATATGTAAAGCCCTTTGAACCTGGCCAGCCTCACGGTCAGAATTATTTTTTTTTTAGATTTGATTTATTTATTTAGAGAGAGGGGAAGGAAGGGAGAGAGGGAGAGAAACATCAATGTGTGAGAGATATATTGATCCGTTGCCTCTCACAGGCCCCCAGCTGGGGTCCTGGGCCGCAACCCAGGCCTGTGCCCTGACTGGGAATCGAACCGGCGACCTTTCAGTTCACAGGCCAGCATTCAGTCCACTGAGCCACAGCAGCCAGGGCTCAGTCAGACTTTTAGCATTGTTCGCCACTAACAGGAATTTTCTGTGTGTGAGTGATCTTTACGCTTATGTTCTTGGATGACACTAATTTGTTTTAACCATTTACAACGTAAAGATAGGAATCTGCTCTCTGTATTTTTGCTGCACGCATGTCTTCTTTCCGTTATTCTTCACTTCACGGTCTCGTTATTTTTATAAAATATGGAAAATTTTGCTTTGATGTACTTTCTGTCAGCCTTCATCTCTCTGATTTCCTCTCCTGCTTTTAAGTCTGCGTGGTTGAAAGGTACTTATTCACTTCTACGCTTTGTGAGTTTAATAGGCTGCGACTTCTTCCACCTACATTTTAAAGGAGCCTGATACTGGGGGGCGGGTGTGAGAGAGGGGTTCGGGCTGACAAGTTTCATGTTGCTCGGTTATCTTAGCACTCTTCTCATTCCGTCCCTGCGTGGGACTCACGGCTCCCCCTTCAGCAGAGAGCACGTTCTCGGGCAAAACAGAGTTTGTCTGGTCTGCGGCCATTGGTCTGTCGTGGGTGTGTGTGTGTGTGTGAGAGAGAGAGAGAGGTCGGTCAACACACTCCTTTACTTGCCAGATCTTTCTAGTACATTTGCTATTGGGTTAAGCCTCCTCGTCTTTAAACATCTTATTGACTCTCCCCACACATATGTTTCCTTCTACTGAGTGTTTGCAAAAAAGAAGTTTTAGATTTTTATAAGACTCGTGTTAAACCTTTAACTTACTTCGGGATGAATTGCTTTCTTTACTCGAGTAGTCTTTCTGCCTGTGATAAGACCCCAGTGAAGCTCCAAGTTCTGGGGCCAGTGCAGGGGCGCTGGAGGGAGTCGACCAACCTCGCCCACCCGCACAGCCTCACTCTCGCGCCCCCCAGGCCCCGCCCCCTGCAGGACCAGAAGTGGGCCCTCTCCCCCCAGCTCCCAACAAACCTGCTCCTCTCTCCTGCACACTTCTCAGCCCAGCTGGTCTACAAATGTCATCGCCTTTGGTTCTTCTCCTCATGACAACCATGCAAATGACATGCGTGCTTGTGGCCACTTCACAGAGGCAGAGTGAGGTCCAAAGGGCATGGGGAGTTAGTCCTGGCCCCTGGCCCCCGGCCAGAGCGGGGCAGAGCCTGTGTTGCAGGTCAAGGTGGCTGAGCACAAGAGTGCTGCTTCTCCCAGCAGGGTGGCTGCCGGTGTGTGAGGGTGCTCGTGTGTGTGTGCGTGCGTGCATGCGTGTGCATGCAGCTCCCGCAAAACTCGAGTGAAGTTTCAGCCCGTCTTCCTAGGGGATGGAAAGCGGAAAACCCCGGCCTCCTGTGGAGAATAGGGAACTGGCATTCAGACGGCGGGCCGTGTGGGAGGAATGCCAGGAAGTGGGGCAGAGGCGGGGAGAGTCCCGGTCCCGGGGGGTGTGAGTGAGCATGTGAGCACACCCAGGGGGGGCACCGTGTCCCCAGCACCCGGCGGTGCTCCAAAGCAGACACAGGTCAGTAGCCACGGGGCACTCAAGGCCAACCAGACGCCAGGCCTCCCTCCCAGGCTTCCCCACCACCAGGGCACTGCACGGGGGTGCCGGGTGCACGGCCCAGCGGGAGCCCACTCCTCCGGAGGCCACGAGTGCTCCTCCCTCATGGTCACACCCAAGGACACCGAGGCTCAGGGCCAGGGACCATCCAGGGTGCCGGGCTGAGGCAGCAGTGGGGGCTGGAGCCTGTGCATCAGAGCTACTCCTGGGTTCACCCCAAAAGTGAGCTGAGGCCCTAGGGACACAGGACTGGGTGGGGCAGCTTGCCGACGATGCTTCCTCCGCAGGCCTAGAGAAGCCGAGTTCCGGAGGGAGGACTCTCGAGAGCAGATGACGAGGGCATAGCCTGGCCCCCCGCTGGGGAGGGACACAGGACTCCAGGCCAGGAGGACCCGGGCCCCGCTGAGGCCTGCACCCGCCTGCGCTGGCCCCTGCTCATCCAGAGCTGATCCGGAGATGGCGCCGCCCCGGTGGCTGCTCCCCGTAGCGCTGCTGGCTCTGTGCTGGGGGCCCAGCACGGCAGGGGCCCCAGGTGAGCCCGACGTCCCTCCCCTCACAGCCCCACTGCTCACTGCTGGACCCCCTCACATCCCCCAGGGGGCTCCCAGACCTCAGCGACTCTGGCCTCCCTCCCCTCCCTCCTTTCCCCCACTTCTTCTCCCTCCCTAACCTTCCCAGGCGCCCCCCTCTCTTTCCCCCCGCACCCTCCCACACTCCTGCCCACCATCTCAAGCCTCCGCTGAAGTCCACCTTGGCTTATGCTTTTTCTCCGCCCGCAGTTTTCAGTGTGGCATTCGAGGCCTCTGACCTCCGGGCTGGCCCTTCCAGCCTTTTCTCTGCCCCTTCTCTCTTCTCCGCTTCCCCACCCTGCTCTTCTGACAGTGGCCTGACCGATTCCCACCTCCCCGCGGCCCTCGGCCTGGGGGTCTTTCCCTGCTTCAACCCCAGCAACCTCCTCGTGCTTGGCGGCCTGGCTGGGCTGCTCCTGAGGCTCACGAACCTGGCTTCTCAAGGGCTCCCAGAGGACTTGGCTCTCTGGTAACCGTGGGAACCACGTTCCCCTTTCCAACCATCGGGCCTGGCCGCTGCCCCGCAGGAGGTCCGAGAGCAGGGTGGGCCGGTTGCCTGCTGGTGGGTGTGTGCCTCTCCTCCCGGGATGCACCGAGGGCTCCGGGAGCAGGGCCTGTGCCAGATGCATGTCCCTGTCCTGGGGTGGCAGGGACCCTATTCCAGGAGAGGGACACGGCAGGGGCTCTGGAAATGCGCTGAGAACGAACTAGAATATTGTTTCTGTTCAGACAGGGGAGGGGAGAGCGGCGATCCCCTCCTGGCCTCCCCCGGGCCGGGGACCGTCCCGCTGCAGACCCTGCGCTGCCACAACGACTACACCAGCCGCATCGTGTGCGGGTGGGCGGACACCTGGGACTCCCAGCGGTTCGTCAACGTGACCCTCTACCGCAGGCTGAATGAGTGAGTGGCGGGGGCGCGGGGTGGAGGGCCGGGAGGGGCCGCTGTGCGGGGCCGCGCCCGCTGGGGGCCCGCACAGAAGACGGAGGAGGGGAGGCCCAGGAGCTCCGGCTCCGTGGGGTGGCCTGCAGGCCGGGGTGCTGGCGTCTCATGCCAGGGTTTCCGGGGAGAGCATCTGCGTTCAGGTTGTTGCTGCTGATAGTGATCATCTTCTCTGATGTCATCGCAGTGTAACAAAATCGCCCTGCGCAAGTGCAAGTTCCGTTTCAGAGGCAGGCAGGGCAGGGATAGACTGCCCAGCTCACAGATGAGGAAACCAAGGGTGTGGAGCTGAGGACCCCCTTCCGCCCATCCACGTGGTGGCTGGAATCCTGTGCCTGGCCTGTAGGGGTGGGGTCCGTGTGTCCCCGAGACCCCAAGACCTCCAGATGGAGGAGTTTGTCCTTCCCCTCAGGGCGCCTCCAGGGCATATGCCATTTGGCGAGCCACCTCCCACTGTGCTGGGATTTGGTGACAGTCTGACTCATAGTAACAGGAATAATTAAATTGTCAGTGCCACAGGGATGGGCGGACCCCCGGGGGGTCACTCTGGGAAGGAGCCTCTGTCACACCCACAGCATGGGTGGACACAGCCGTCCTTCCACTCTCCCGGGAACTTCAACCTTTCCTCTCTACCCTCCCCATTACTGCCGCCACCACCCGCCCTTGGCTGTGACCTGCTTCCTCCAGCGCTGAGGCACCAGGCTCCCAGGAGAGAAGCCCCACCCAGCCCCTGTGTGCTCTCCCTGCGGCCGCACACCTGCCCCCACCACCCCCCCGCCCCCGCCCCTGCAGGGAGGGATCTCCCGCGGTGACTCTGCAGCCAGGGTCCCACCCGGTCTGGCTGCCCGAGGACATCACTGCCACCGCGGTCTCCACTCCTCCCTGTGGTTTCTGTGGACCCTCCCTGGGATCGTTCACAATGGCTGAGCCGATGTGCCCGCCCCCCACTTCCAGATGCCAAGGAGGGGGTGCGACTCCGGGCCACCTCCTGACCTCACCTCCTCCCGCCAGGGCCCACCCTCGGCCTCCCTTTGCAACAACACTCCTCGGAAGAGCTGTCCGAGTCGACGTGCCCAGCATCCTTCCAGTTAGTCTCTCCTGAACCACTGTCCCAGGGTCCTTCCGCCCCCAGCAGGCCACCCAGACCTTGCCTGCCAAAGGCGGCAGAGCCCTGGCCAGTGCTCAGGCTAACGGTCAGTCTGGGCCACTCCCTTCCAGACCCAGGGGCACGCCTGACTTGGACTGACCACAGGGTCCTTCTGAAGCCCCTGTCTCTCCTGACTTCTGGCCACCACACTCATCCCTTGTCCTGTGTCTCCCTGGCCTCTCCTTTCTGTCTGTGAGTCTGCTCCCTGCTTTGGTTTTGGACTTGAAGGGTGCGGTGCCCCAGGGTTCAGGCCCGCAGTCTTATTACATCCTGACCCGACGGCAGAGATCCAGCCGCAGGCTCCGGGTCCCTCCCCGCCCCCTCCGGCCCGGACCTCCCGCCCAGCTGCAAACCCACAGGGGCGCAGGCCTCTCCACCTCGTCCCTGAGGAAACAGGTGTCCTCAGCCCCACACGTCCTCAGCCCCACACGTCCTCAACCCAATTTCTGCCCCGTCCCCAAAAGACCGCTCCAGCTCCGGCCTCGCCATCTCCCCTCACTAAATGGGGGCTCCTAGGGGCTCGAGCCGAACACCTGCAGGGCTTTGTCGATCTTCAGATCCCCCTACCACCACCGCTCCTTCCCCATCAGAGCATCGAACCCACCTACAAACTCTGTCGACCTCGTCTTCCAACAGAACGTGAATTTGGTCAATACCAACGCCGCCGCCCTGGTTCGAACCATTTCCTGTTACGCGGGATAGTCCAGAAGCCTTCTAACTGCTCCTGGGGCTTCCCTTGTTGCCATCCCTCCCGACCCTAGCCGTCCGCAACCCGGCAGCCGGGGGAGTCCTTGCAAAGCATGTCCGAGGTCACTGCGTTGCTCACCGCTCTCGCAGTGTTCCCACTTAGAGTGAAACCCAGATTCCTTCCGTTCTTTCCCGCCGGTGGCTTCCCGTCGCCTCCCTCAGTCAGACTCCTGGACCTTGCACCTCGCGCACGCTGCTCCGGCGTCTGCCTGCCTAGTCGTCCACCCCGCCCATCTGAGCGTGCCCCAGGGCCTTTGCACTTGCTGCTCCAATGGCCCGAAATCTCCTGTCCCCGGGATGTGCGCGGCCCTGCCCCCACCTCCTTCAAGCTTCTACTCAGACGGCGCCTTTTCCAGGGGGCCTTTCCTGTCTCCCTGTTCCAAACTGCATTCCGCACTCCAGTGCTTCGGGGCTCCTCGCCCTCTCCTGCTGCGCTTGATCTCATAAAGTCTCCTCTGTCTGACACACGACTTATCTCCTCCAGCGGTTTCACGTGCGTCTCCCTCCGGCAGGATGTGTGGGTGTTCTGTTCACGGCCAGGCCCCTGGCCCCGGACGAAGTCCCGCACACGGGAGCCACGTGGACCCTGCGAACGAGCGCTTCTTCTTCACGCCGGTCTAACCTGTGTCCTCCCCTGGCAGTAACCCCCCGAAGCCCGTGTCCTGTGAGCTCAATGACGACATGCGCTGGTCGGACTGCCCCTCCACTTCCTGCGTGCCCAGAAGATGCGTCATTCCCTATGCGCTGTTCGTCATTTCCGACAAGGACAACTTCTCATTCCAGCCAGACAGGCCTCTGGGCGCCCAGCTCACCGTTACTCTGGCCCAGCATGGTGAGGCCTGGGGCCCTGGCTGGGGATGGGCCCCAGTGAGGACAGCGGGCCCCCGGGGGAGGGGGGGTGCCAGACTGCAGGGGGCGGGCCAGCAAGGGGTGGTGGAGACGCTGGCTTGGGGGTGCTTTGGTTTCTTGAGGGAAGAAGATACAGTCCCTTTATAATGAAGGTGCTGGAGCAGGAACAATGTGGGGGGGTCCCCGGAAAAAGTTGCCCCCCAGCCCTGGCTGCCCCACCAGTGCCAAGCCATTGCCTTCCAGCACAAAGGCTTCCCTTCCAGGAGACCCTTCCTCCGATTCACATAAAGACTCGCCAGCTCCCCCACCCACTGTCTGCAATAACTCTGCAATAACAGAGGAGGCCCCTTAGACCCAGAGAGGTTTGTAACTTGTCCCAGGTGCCGTCACTGAGCAGAAGTGACAAGTCTGAGTCAGGCTTGCCAGGTGCTTCCTGTGCGTCAGAAGGAGCTCGAGACCCTACTGCCCTCGCTGAGGGGCCCCCAGTGTCACACGACGGCCCAGGACAGCCCATGGTCTTGATGGTCACGTCACATAAATAGTTAGGCTTCCTTTGACCATACAGTGGACAAAAGTGTAACCAGCACTTCCATCCCATTAATTCAATTTCATTAGTGCTCAGAATGAGCCTGAAGGAAAGACAGAGGGTCATTTTTTCTAAATCCTCCCTCAAAGACATTTTTTCCTCGTTTTTTAGAGAGTAGGGGAGGGAGGATGAGAGAGAGAGGGGGGCAGCAATGTGAAAGAGAAACATTGACGGGTTGCCTCTTACACACGCCCTGACCAGGAATCAAACCTGCCACCTTTTGGTCTCCAGGGCAACACTCCAACCAGCCTAGCCACTGCCCAAGGCAGAGGGTCGTTTTTAAAAGTTAATGTCCACATGGCGAGAATCCTGCAGATGGCTGGCTATTAGGAAACACCACCCGATGTTATTTCATAGTTACAGGAGCATATGGTGCCGGGGGCCATTTCCTTTACCCCAATTCACTGAGGGTGAAACTGAGGCTGAGAGAGCCAGGGACTTGCCCAGGGCTCCTCAGACCTGATTTCTGACTTCGCTGTCCTGGGTCCCGGACACGGGCCACCCTGCGCTGCGTCTTGCAAGTGTCTGATGGGAGGGGGCTCGGCCGAGGCCGCCTGCCTCTTTCCGTCCCAGCAGCACAAAGCTGTGTCTGGAGGAGCGGGTGGGTTAGGCCAGGTGGAATTCATGTTAAACCGTGCCCCAAAGCATGGGTTCGATGGCTGAGAAGCAGCCCTGCCCCGGGCGCTGTGAACAGGCCAGAGAGGGAACACCAGGTGGCATTGTCCGGAGTGACCACGTACTGCAGGCAGGTGCCTGCCGCCTGCGGAGGAGCAGTGGGCAAGGAGACCCTGGGAGGCTGGGACGGGCTTTCCAGAGGTGCAAGCTTCGCAGGGAGACCTGCAGGGTGGGTGGGAGAAGGGAGCGGGAGGAACAGGAAGAGCAGGGGAAACAGCTAGTGCAGAGGCTGGGAGACTCGGGAGTGCGCGGCAGGCTGGGAAGCCCACTAATAACTGTGTCTGAGAGCATCAGCTTCGAGAGGGCCAGACAGCGGCGGGAGGGCCAGGGGCAGCGAAGGCGGGGGCCTGGCCTGGAGAGGCCTGTGCCCTGCGGGGGCGTTTACAGGTCAAAGTCTAGGCAATGGGAAAGCATTGAAGGGGCATGGCAGGGTCAGATGTGGGCGTGAAGAGGCCAGCAAGGCTGGATGTACACAGTAAATGGCAGGGGGAGGAAGTGGCAGGAGACTGGAGCCCAGAACGTCGCCTAGGGTCCTAACCGCATGGAGAAATGATGAGGATTCATCTGGGACAGGGCAAGGGGTGGGGATTCGGGCCATCTAAACCACAGCGAGGCTGTGCATGCAGCTCATTCCTTAAGCTGGCCCTTCACTGAGCACTGCATATACCAGGGAAGCGGCGAGCAAGCCTGGGAGGACCCCTGCCCTTGTGAAGCTCATGGCCTGGGAATGGGGAAGCTGTCCCAGTGGGTACGGGGACACCATGAAGTGGGGCACGAGGGGGCCGTTTGCCTTCTGGAACTCAGGCCCACCACGTTTATTATGGCAACGAGTCAGGGAGGCCGTGCGGTGCTGGGGAGGAGGCAGGGGTGCACCTGACACACTCAGGGCTCCCACATTTGGAGATCTGGTTGTTTCACTTCCTCAATCAGTTTCTCCATCTGTGAAATGGGCTGGTGGACTAAAACCTCTCAGGTTCCATGACTCAGGTTCCTTCCGCTGGCCTCCCAGTCAGTTCAGTTGGCAGCAGCTTCCTAGAGCCCCACGCAGAGAAGGACGCCCACTCCATGACAGGCCAAGGGGGGCTGGGAGTGCAGGGGTGGACGAGGGGTGCCCAGCGCGGCCATGGGCAGAAGGGGGCGCCCTGTCTCTGCCACTCGGGGCTGATGTTCTGCAGACCCCACTCTGAGACGCTCTCACACACCACGTTCCTCGCCCAGCCTCGAACGTGCACATCCTGTTCGGGCTCCCGTTGAATTCTTTGCGTTTGAAAGTCATCCGTGGGCAGCCAGGCACAGAGGCGTCACGGTCAGGGCCTGTCCAGCCCTCCAGGCCCCCGCAGGGGCGGGCTTGCTGTTTGGTTGAGGGAAGGACTTCCCGAGAAGACCCTGAAGGTCGCCTGCATGTCTGCACTCGTTTCTTCATTCACTCCGCCCCCCAAGTTCACTGACCCACTGCATCACAGGCCCTGGGGAGAAGGGAGGGGACCCAGGCCCAGACCCTGCCACCCACCAGCTCCTCTGCCTCTTGGGGAGGCAGATGGGGAAACACACACCCACCAGGGGAAGGACCGTACAATGGACGATGGTGGGACTGGGAAAGGAGCAAAGATTCTGCCTGGTGGAAGGGATCCACGAAGGTTCTAGAAGAGGAACGTCCATGCTGGGCACTGAGAGGTGCAGGACACCTAGGGCAGGTGGAGAGGGGGAGCACGGAGATTAACGCGAGCCACAGCGCCCTCTGCTGGGTGGCGAGGGGCACACCGCATCCCGGGCCGTGGGACCTGGGGACAGAGAGAGGCTGCGTTTCCAGTTGAATTGCCAGCGCCTTGTATCAGGGCACAGCTTGCATTCACCGCCCCACTGGGTCCCCACGGTTTGGCAGAGGAAGACCTGACACCCACAAAGGACTGGGGTCTCATCCGAGGTCAGTCAGCCGGTGAGGGCAGTGCTCCTCCCGGAAACCCGGGCTGCCCACGCCAAGACCACGCAGGGCCTTGACCGCCCCGCCGCTGCCCGGCCCCTCACGGTCCCTTGCCCTCCTCTCCCTCAGTGCAGCCCCCCGCGCCGACGGACCTCCGCATCACTGCTGCCGCGGACCATTTCCAGCTGACCTGGAGTGTGACCCTCGGGGGTCCCCAGGGCCAGTGGCTGTCAGACCTGGAGTTCGAGGTGGTCTACAGGCGGCTTCAGGACTCCTGGGAGGTAGGGACGCCGGCCAGCTCGGCCCCGAACCCACAGGGACTCGGCCCGGCCCGCAGCCGCTCCAACGGCCCCTTTCTCCCGGCAGGACGCCTCCACCCTCCTCGCCACCTCCCCGCAGGCCGACCTGGGGCCAGAGCACCTCCTGCCCGGCAGCACCTACGTGGCCCGCGTGCGCACCCGGCTGGGCCAGGGCTCAAGGCACTCTGGGAGGCCCAGCCGGTGGAGCCCGGAGGTTCGCTGGGACTCCCAGCCAGGTAAGGGGCCGAGGGGAGGCGCTGCCCCTCTGCAGGGAGGGCGGCTCCTTGGGCTCCCGGGCGGAAGGAGTTCAGCGGTCCCCACTGCGGGCTCCGCCCACCCGCGCTGGGTGTTTCCAGTCGCCTCCCCGGCCCACCTGTCCCAAGCAGCTCTGCGAAGGCAGCCCAGCGGCCCCGCTGTCTGCCTCGTAATCACGACACTGGGGGTCACCGTGGCATTCTGCACGGCGGCAGTGGCGGCGTTCGCAGGAGAGCTGCACCGTACTGGGACCTAACTCCATTCCTGCGAGCAATCCTCAGACCCCCAGCCTAGACGGTGTCCCCATTCCCGCAGAGGGGCTGAGGGTTCACAGAATTCACGCTCTGACCTGTGGGCATACAGCTGGCAGGCTCGGGCTGAAGTTTAACCCCTGGCCTTTGGGGCCCTAAAGCCCAGGAGCTCTCTGGGGCGAGCCCCACAGTGGGCAGCCGAGCAGAGCTGGGGAGGGAATGCAGGAGTGAGTGAGTGAGGGACCGTCTCCCCTCCAGGGGACAAGGCCCAGCCCCAGAACCTCCAGTGCCTCTTCGACGGGGGTGCCGTGCTCAGCTGCTCCTGGGAAGTGAGGTCCGAGGTGACCAGCTCCGTCTCCTTCACCCTGTTCTACAAGTCCAGCCCCAACGCAAAGTGAGTGTCCCCTTCCTTGGTCCCCTCCCCTCCTGCAGGCCCTGCCCTCTCCAGGCCGCCGCCCCCTGCCCCTGGGTGCCCAGTAGTAGCCACAGCTGGCCCCGAGGTCCCACCCCTCCCGAGGTCCCTGCCTCCTCCTGCGCTCACTGCCCCCGCGCCCCCCCATGCCCAGGGAGAAGGAATGCCCCTCCATGCTGAAGGAGGCCCACGGCCACTACATGCTGCACCGGTGCCAGGTCCCCGTGGCCGACCCCTGGAACCACAGCCAGTACCTCATCTCCGTGCGGCCCAAGGTGGAAGAGAAGTACATAAAGAGCTCCGAGAACAGTGAGTTTGCCCTCAGCCTTCTGCGGGGGGACACGGGGATCCTGGGGCAGCTGTGTGTGTTGTGGATGTGACTGCATAAGCTCGGGGCTCCTTATGTCCCCGTCTTGACGTTTGTCACTTTGAAGAAACTCAGTCCAGTGAGTAAAGTGAACAGTGCTCATTAGAATCTCCTCTTTAAGTTCTCAAGAAGCATTAATACAACAAGGCCCTGGCTGGTGTGGCTCAGTGGATTGAGCGCCTCAAACCCAAAGGTCGCTGGCTCGATTCCCAGTCAGGGCACATGCCTGGCTTGCAGGCCAGGTCCCCAGTAGGGGGCGTGCACGAGGCAACTGACCCATCTCTCCCACATAGATGTTTCTCTCCCTCTCCCCCTCCCTTCCTTCCCTTCTCTCTAAAAATAAATACATTTTAAAAAATAATGACAATGGCAGCTAACATGTAGGAAGGTTCGTTGACCTTCCCCGGGAGTCCACCTCGAATGCCCTTCCCTTTGAGGCCCGCCTTCCACTCCGGTTCCTCCGCGGCACTAAATCTCTCCGCCCCGCCTCCTGGTCCTCCCACCAAACTTTTCTTTTTATTCCCCGATTGGGTTTTCTGCTTTCATGTTTCCAGAGTCCTCCCCCAAGGATCTTTTCAGCCTTCAAAATAACTGACTGAGGATTCACTCCTTCTCATGGGGGCTGGGGAGGGGGCAAATGAGCCGACACTCCTTGCAGGTTAACATCCCTGGTTCCTGTTACGCAGCAAGTGCCGCGCAAAGGAACCCCCGCATTGTCTCAGGGCGATCGAGGTCTCCCACCCACCTCCAGGCCGGAGCCCCTTTGTCCGAGTCGCCTGGGTTAGGATCCCCCACTTACTGTCTGGGGATCAGCCAGGCTACAGCCTTGATCTCTGCCCTTGCTAGCTGCCTGTCCTTGACAAGTGGCTAATTGTTCTGGGGCTCGTTTCTCTGTCTGCAAAATGTGACGAGCTAATAGGACCCACCCAAAGCGTTGCTGTTAGACTAGAGGGAACTAATTCGTGCAGGCTGAGCGTGTCTAAGTGTCTCGAACAAAGTCACAGCTCTAGAACAGAACCAATTACTGTGATTTTATTTTTACTTAAGTATTATGAGTACCGTATTTTGCCATGTACAATGCACATGTTTTTGGCCCAAATTTTCAGGGGAAAAATCTTTCATTTTAATTTTTTAATTCCATTTTCATTTATATTTAGAAACAAACCTGATTATTGTATCCCAGGGTGTTATTTTGCACCAGGGATATCATTATTGCTTTCTAGAATTACACTTTCGATGCATAAGCGTAAATAAAAGATGTGAAAACATTTAAATAGATACAGAATTACCACTACCCACATATAACGTGCATCCTTATTTTCCCCTCAAAAATTTGGGCCAAAAAAAGTGTGTGTTATACACCGCTAAATACGGTACCCTGTGCTGTGGGTCACCTCACCATAAAACAAGTGAGACTCCAATGCAGCCAAGACCTGGGCTGCTCAGGCCCAACCGGGAAGAGATGGTGATGGCAGGCGGGCGTGCAGTGTCCCTGGGTGGGCGGGGCCTGGGGCCCGGGCTGCTGGAGACAGCACCTGGGATCCACACCCAAGGCAAGGAGCATCCCCTGGGAGGAACGCAGGCACAGCATTCCCTAAAAGTTGCCTCCCTCCAGTCCAGATGGCGCCCCCGATGCTCAATGTGACCAAGGGCAGAGACGGCCACATGTTGCGCTGGGAGGTGGAGAAGATGTCCTTCCCACACATCGTGTACACCTTCCAAGTCCAGTACAAGAAAGCCGAAGTCTCCTGGCAGGTGCGTGCACGTGCCCTGGAGGGGCCTGTGGCGGCGGGTGGGGTGGGGGCACGTGGGACACCGGCCTGGGAAGGCGCCTCCTGTCAGAGGCCTGGCTCCTGCGGGTGACCAGGCAGAATAAGCCAGTGGCACTTGGTGAGCACAGCCCTGGGCGATCAGTGGGTCCCTGTCTCAGCCCTTGGAGTGAGATTCAGAGAGGTGATGGGACTTGGCCGGTGTGGACCCCCAGGCGGCCCTGAATGTCAAAGCAAGCACAGATGTCCAGGCAGGGAGGGCTGGGAGATGCTGGGGGAGGGGTTCTCCAAGTCAGGAAGTGGGCATTCCTTCCGAGGAATCCCCCCGGACACCAATGCGCAGCCTCTCGGAGCACAGCTGCCCCTGATGCAGCAGGCAGGGCCCGGCCCAAGGCACGGTTGCCGGCCCCCCTTCCACCCGCCCCCCCGCCCCCACTGGCAGCCCTCCGTCCACACGCAGAGCCTGAGGCTCCACAGAGGCCAGACCAGAAACCTCGGGCTGCAGATGGAGAAACCGAGGGCGGAAGGGGATGGGTCAGTGGTGGATCCGGGCTCCTGAGCCCCTGTGTGAGATTGAGAGTTCAGTCGCCCTGCATGGCCGTCTGGGGAGGTCACAGTTGGGGTCCAGGCTGCCCCTGAGGAGCTGGGAAATTGAGGGGTCTCAAGATGCGATGGAACAGGGTGACCCCCATAGGGTTTCTGGGCCTTGGTGCCGTCATATGTCACAGGGGCGCATTGCAAGACGTGTGGCCCCCGGTCCCATCCGGAGCACTCCCTGTCTCTGGGAGTAAAGTAGGGCCCCTCCCAGTGGGGGGCGTCCTGCCTCAGATTTGGGGAATGTGACCCCAGCAGGGGGCTGACGGGCAGCAGAGACTGGGGTCCTGAGGTGGGAGGGGCGTGCGGCCACGCCCACGTGAGCCTGGACGTTGCCCCAGCACCCCGGCTGACACGCCTGCGCCCGCAGGAGAGCCAGACGGAGCGCCTCCCCAACACCCGCGTCATGCTGCTGCCGCCTCTGGAGCCCTCCACCAGGTACCAGGCGAGAGTGCGGGTCAAGCCGGACCAAGGCTACAGCGGGATCTGGAGCGAGTGGAGCGAGGAGTGCTCCTGGGACACTGACAGGGGTACGTCTCCCCGCCCCCACCTGCTGCCTCTCTGGCCACAGCCCCGTGGCGGTGACGCACAGGCGTGGTCAGGACGCAGGGCTGTGACCCCCCACCCCGCCCGAGCGCCCTTCGCTCCCACGTGTCGCCCGTCAGGGGACAGTTGCCCCCGGGGGTGCACCGCGGACGGCAGGAAGGTCTTGAGAGAGCGGAGAAGAGCAGGTCCCGCCGACCCGCCTCCCTCAGCCCGGACCTCCGCTCTCCATGACCGTGGCCCGTAGTGTCGGTACCTGTGTGTCGGCCTCCACCCAGTGACCCCGCGGCCCACAGCCCTGGCCGCCTCAGCGGACATCAGGGCCCACAGCCAGAGGCCTGAGCGGGGGAAGATCTGAGTCCAATTTCTTATCTTCCCCCTTCCCCTGCACTCGCCGCTCTCATTTGTCTCTCACTTTTTTCCTTTTTTAAAATTATTTTTAAAATAGATTTTATTGATTATGCTATTACAGTTGTCCCATTTTCCCCCCCTTCACTCCCCTCCACTCTGCACACCCCCTCCCACCCACATTCCCCCCTTTAGTTCATGTCCATGTGTCATAGGTTCTTTAGCTTCTACATTTCCCATACTGTTCTTGCCCTCCCCTTGTCTATTTTCTCCCTACCATCTATGCTACTTATTCTCTGTACTTTTTCCACTCTCTCCTCCTCCCACTCCCCTGTTGCTAACCCTCCATGTGATCTCCATTTCTGTGGTTCTGTTCCTGTTCTAGTTGTTTGCTTAGTTTATTTTTGTGGAGTTTTTTTGGGGGGTGGTTGTTAATAATTGTGAGTTTGCTGTCATTTTACTGTACATGATTTTTATCTTCTTTTTCTTAGATAAGTCCCTTTAACATTTCATGTAATAAGGGCTTGGTGATGATGAACTCCTTTAACTTGACCTTATCTGAGAAGCACTTTATCTGCCCTTCCATTGTAAATAATAGCTTTGCTGGATAGAGCAATCTTGGGTGTAGGTCCTTGCCTTTCATGACTTGGAATACTTCTTTCCAGCCCCTTCTTTCCTGCAAGGTCTCTTTTGAGAAATCCGCTGACAGTCTTATGGGCACTCCTTTGTAGGTTACTGTCTCCTTTTTCTTTTTTTTTTTTTTGCTGCTTTCAACATTCTCTCCTTATCTTTCATCTTGGGTAATGTAATTATGATGTGCCTTGGTGTGTTCCTCCTTGGGTCCAACTTCTTTGGGACTCTCTGAGCTTCCTGGACTTCCTGGAAGTCTATTTCCTTTCCCAGAATGGGGAAGTTCTCCTTTTTTATTTGTTCAAATAACTTTCCCACTTGTTGCTCTTCCTCTTCTCCTTCTGGCACCCCTATAATTTGAATGTTGGAACGTTTAAAGATGTCCTGGAGGTTTTTAAGCTTCTCCTCATTTTTTTGAATTTTTGTTTCTTCATTCTTTTCTGATTGGATGTTTCTTTCTTCCTTCTGGTCCACTCCATTGATTTGAGTCCCGGTTTCCTTCCCATCACTATTGGTTCCTTGTACATTTTCCTTTATTTCACTTAGTGTAACTTTCATTTTTTCATCTAATTTTTGACCAACTTCAACCAATTCTGTGAGCATCCTAATTACCAGTGTTTTGAACTGTGCATCTGATAGGTTGGCTACCTCTTTGTCACTTAGTTGTTGTTTTTTTTTCTGGAGCTTTGATCTGTCCTTTCATTTGGGCCATTTTTTCTTTTTGTCTTGTTGTGCCTGTTACCTATGAGGGACAGAGCCTTAGGTGTTTACCAGGGCGGGGCAACCCATGTTGCTGGGCTGTGACGCTGCATGTGGGGGAGGGGTCCGAGAGGGAACAAGGGCACTTGCTCCGCTATCCAATTTCAGTCCTCTCCACCGCTTCCCCCAAGCTAACTGGGCCTTTCTGGTGCTGATTCCCGGTGGGTGGGCTTGTGCACGTTCTAGGACCCTGTGAGTCTCTCCAACGAGCTCTCCCGTGAGGATGGGAGTCTCTCCCAGCATCTGAATCCCCTCAGGTGTTTTTGATTGGTGTTTTGAGGCTCTATTTTCCCACACTGCAGCCCTGGGTTGCATGGTCTGCAAGCCCTGGCTTGCTCCCCAGTTTCACCTGGTTTATCTGCGCACGGATGTGGGACCGCCCAGTCTGCCAACCACCTTGCACACCGCACCCAGCTTCACAATTGCCACCTCACTGGGTCCGCCCACTGCAGCCTTGCTGCAACCCCTCTCCACCCCGCTGCTGACCCTGCCCCTCCTACTGGTCTGGATGAATGTGTCTTGTTTAACTCCTTGGTTGTCGGACTTCCATACAGTTCGATTTTCTGGCAGTACTGGTTGTTTTTCATTTTTAAATTGTTGTTGTCCTCCTTTTGGTTGTGCGAGGAGGCGCAGTGTGTCTACCTACGCCTCCATCTTGGCCGGCAGTCTCTTGTCTCTCACCTTTCAGCAGAGTGGTCACCAGGAGACAAGCACGAGACTCCCCAGAGAGGGAGAAGAGGGATGTCCCAGGGGGACCCAGCCCCTGAGGGGCTGGTGGATGCCCAGAGGGGAGGGTGGGGGCCCTGGGGGGCCTGTGCCCCCGCTGGCTTCCCCACCAGCGCCACTTTGCCCGTCCCCGCCTCTCCAGTCCTCCCCGCGCCCAGGCGCAGCTGCACCAGCTGCCCCCCCTCCCTGCGCGTCTCCTGAGGGCACTTACCAACCTGGGGGCAAGCGCCCCACCTGCAAAGAGGTCCCGACTCGTGGAGGGCTCGGTGATAGTTAGCAATATTTAGCAATAAGGTATTTTAAAGTAAAGTATGTACATGGGTTTTTTTATTTTACTTTTCAATCACTGTTTATATTCAGTATCATTTTGTATTAACCTCAAGATGTACGGAGTAGTGGTTAGGCAATGACAGGCTTGACAGAGTGCCCCCCGCCCCCCGATATTTCCAGCGCCCCCTGCACCGCACGTGTGCAGTCGTCGTCATAATGTTGAGGACTCTGTTCCCTGTTCTGTGCTTACACCCCTGCGACGACTTTGTAACTACAGATTTGTGCTTCTCAATCCCTTCACCTTTTTCACCCAGTCCTCCACCCCCTCCCCTCCAGGAACCATCAGCCTGTTCTCTGTATCTATGAGTCTGCTTCTGTTTTGTTTGTTTTTGTTCTTTAGGTTCCACTCGTAAGTGAAATTATATAGTTCTGTATTTGTCTCTCTTTTTGATACTTTTCACTTAGCATAATACATTCTAGGTCTATCCATGCTGTCAAAATTGGTAAGATTTCATTCTTTTTAAGGCTGAGTAATTTTTCATTATATATATGTATATGTGTGTGTGTATATATGTATATACATGTATATACATATACATATGTATATACACATATATACATGTGTGTATGTGTGTGTGTGTGTGTATATCTATATCCCTGGCTTTTTCTTTATCCACTTGTTTTTTGATGGGAACTTGGGCTGCTTCCATATCTTGGCTATTATAAATAAAGCTGCAATGAACATAGGGGTGCACGTATTCTTTCAAACCAGTGTTTTGGGTGTCTTTGGAGATTTGCCCAGCAGTGGAATTGCTGAGTCATCAGGCAGTTCCAGTTTTGCTTTTTGGAGGAAGCTCCACGCTGCTTCCCACAGCGGCTGCTCCAGTCTGCACTCCCACCAGCAGTGCACGAGGGTTCCCTTTTCTCTGCGTCTTCACCAATCCTTGTTAGGTTTTTTAAAAAATGTATTCATGACAGCCATTCTGACAGGTGTGAAGTGATATCTCACTGTGGTTTTCATTTGCATCTCTCTGATGAGTAGTGAGGTTGAGCATCTTTTCATGTGTCTATTGGCCATCTGGGCGTCCTCTTTGAAGAAGTGCCTATTCAGATCCTCTGTCCACCCCCCTCTTTTTTTTTAAAGATTCTATTTATTTATTTTTAGAGAGAGGGGAAGGAAGGGAGGAAGAGAGGGAGGGACACATCGATGTGAGAGAGAAGCATCGATCAGTTGCCTCTGCGTGCACAACACTGGGGGACCAGACCCACCACCCAGGCATGTGCCCTGACCAGGAATGGGACCAGCAGCCTTTCACTGCGTGGGACAACACCCAACCAACTGACCCATGCTGGTCAGGGCCTCTGTCCACTTTGTAATTGGATCGGTGTATTTTTATTATTGTGTTGAGTTGTCTGTGTTCTTTATAAAATAGAAATATGCAATGTGAAAATATGAATATTTATAAAATATGAATATGAACAGATGAATATTTATAGGATGTATCCTTGGGGAGCATCTTCTTGCATTCAGTAGCCTTTTTTCACTTTGTTGGTGGTTTTCTTTGCTGTGCAAAATCCTTTTCATTTGTAGTAGGCTTGTCTGTTTATTTTTTCTCTTGTTTTCCTTAGGCAAGGAAATATATCAGAAAAAAAATATTGCTAAGAGAAATGTCAGAGATTTTAATACCTATGTTTTCTTCTAGGAGTTGCATGGTTTCAAGTCTGACATTTAAGTCTTTAATCCATTTAGAGTTTATTCTTGTATAGGGCCTAAGAAGGTAGTGTAGTTTCGTTTCTTTTCTTTCTTTTTTTTCTTTTTTGCATGTATCTGTCCAATTTTCTCAACACCATTTTTTGAATAGAGTCTTTACCGAATCATACATTCTTGCTTCCTTTGTCAAATATTAATTGGGCATATAGACATGGGTTTATTTCTGGGTGCTCTCTTCAGTTTCATTGATCTATGTGTCCATTTGTAATGCCAGTACCATGCTGTTTTGATTCCTATAGTTTTGTAGTATAGTTTGATCTCAGGTAGGGAGATACCTCCAACTTTGTTCCTTTTTTCTCAAGGTCATTGTGGCTATTCAGGGCCTTCTGTGGTTCCATGAAAAACGCCATTGGTGTTTGGACAGGAATTGCACTGACTTTATGGACTCCTTTGGGTAGCGAGGACATTTTGCCAATGTCAGTTCTTCCTCTCCTCGAACATGGCATCTGCTCCCCTCATCTGCATCTTCTTCTGTTTCTTTCTTCGCTGTCTTCCAGGCACAGAGCGTTTACCTCCTTGGTTAAATTTACTCCTAGGCATTTTATTTTTCTATATTGTTTTTAAGGCATAACACTATTGCACACACAACAGAGTATAGGCTAGTGTGAACATAAGATGTTTACGCCCTTGGGAAGCCAAAACATTCGTGTGACTTACTTTATTGCAGAAATTGCTTTATTGTCATGATCTGAAACCACACCTGCAGTATCTCAGGCGTACGCCTACGTACCACCCTCTTCAGGACGGCCCCTGTGGTTTCCATGGGCTGCAGTCACTCCTGCCCCCACCCCAGGCACCTCCTGCTACTGGAAAAGATCTGTCCTCTTGTGTCCTCTTTAGCACTGAAACATTGGCTGGGGGGCAGTGGGGTGCAGAACAGTGCCCCCTTCTTAGCCGGTGTCTGCCCCCTCTTCCCCACCCCGTACTCCACCGGCACCGACCTGGCCCCACCCGCCCCACCTCCAGAGCCCCCAGGTTTTCCATCTGCAGGTACTAATGTTCCTTTTTCTCTCCTGGCTACCCGGAAGTGCTGCCCATGTGGGGCCTGGCCTTCATCCTGGTCTTCACCACCCTCGCCTTACTCCCCGCCCTGCGCTTCTGCGGCCTGTATGGGTACAGGTAAGGGGACTCCGTGACGGGTGGGGGTGGGCACACCCAAGACCCCGGGGGCCACAGGGATCCCAGGGCTGACTGCTGCAGTCTCTCCTCTGCTACCCACTTCCTGGGGGTTCTCGGACAAATCTTGCCCTCTCCTTGGGCCTCAGTTTCCCCTCTGAATGTGAGCATGGGTGGCTGCCCTGAGGTCTCCGGTGGCTCTCACCTCCCTGCTGTCTTTCCAGGCTGAACCGGAAGTGGGAGGAGAAAATCCCCAACCCCAGTAAGAGCCACCTGTTCCAGGTAGGACCTGGCTGTGAGGGCAGCTGGGGGTGGTGGCGAGGGCTCCCCTGCGCCAGTGCCCATGTACCCGTGCCCACTCCTCCTTCCCTTCTCGGGGGGGGCTTTGGAAGTGGGGCATAGGTGGCCGGGAGGGGGCTGGAAAGCTCCAGGAGCAAGGCCAGCACCTGCAAGTTCATCCCTGAAGACCCCTGGGCCCCCCCAGGTACACAGGTGCCCTGCCTTCAGGGGCCCACATGGAGCAGGCGAGAGCTGAGTGTGGGGATGCTGGGAGGGCTGAGGTGGGCCCGGGAAGGGGCTAGTTTTACTGAGGGGGGGGGCGGGCAGAATGGCAGGGACAGGACAGCAGAGCTGAGCTTTGAGGGATCCGGGTGGCGCCAGGTGGGAAGGTCACTGTAGGCAGAAGGCATGTGGGGCAGGGGACGGGGCCACATCATGAGGGACGGAGGTGGGGGGACGACGAGGCCGGGGCCCATCGCAGGAGGCCGAGAGGACCAAGGAGCGCAGGAGCCCCTCGGTCAGGCAGGGCCAGCTCTGCATGGGGGGCCAGTATGGGCAGTCCAGGGGGTGAGCACAGAGGCAGCAACCCCCCAGATGAGCAGCCTCACCCGAACAGGGACCCCATCCCTCAGTGCTGGAGTGGAGGACCCCGGCAAAGTCCCAGCCCGTCTCTGGCCTCTCCTCCCAGTGTCTGAAGGCCACGTCTGGTCCTGACCATGCCGAGATTCCCCCCCCTCCCGTGTCTGAGGGCTCCCCGGATCCCCCGTCACCCCACAGCCCTCCCCCACCATCACCGTCTCGAAGCCCCACCCCCAGAGGCACAAATGTCCCTCTCTTCCAGAACGGGAGTGCGGGGCTCCGGCTCCCAGACAGCATGCGCACCCTCACCGGCAAGAGCCCCTCGCACAAGGGGCTGTGGGGCAGCCCCTTCCCTGGGCTGCAGGGGTGAGTGTCCGGGCCTGGGGTCCCCGGGAGGTGGGAGGGTGGTCCCAGTGTGCACCTCGGAGGCTCAGAAGAGGTGGCCTCTGGCTTGCAGCTCAGGGTGAAGAGGTCCAGGGGGGTGGCTTGCCCTGAATCAAGGGGCCTCCCCGCTGGATGGCTGGAAGAGCTTCCCAATGCCTGGGCTGGCAAGAGCCACAGCTCAGGTCGGACGGATAAGCTGTCTGTGCCCTGCTCCCCGCACGGCTTGGCCTCATGGGGTGGCCAAGGAGCCGAGAATCCTTCTGGTCAGCACCTGTGCCGCCAGTTCTCCACTGACCCCCGGGAGAGGGCGCTGCACGCTGGGGAGGAGGAGTGGGAAGGACTGGGCGGGCGCAGGCTGGGCACTGGCCTGGGCCCTTGGTGGGGGGCACATCCAGGAGTGGGGGGAGAGGGGAGCGCCTGAGAGAGGAAGCCGTCGATCCAGAGCACGGGGGCCACAGGGCCAGGCCCACAGGGGGATGGAAGGGACGTCCAGTTTCCTGCTCTGGGTTCCGTCCCCCACGCCCCGCAGCCCCAGCCCTGCTCCGGGCTGTCTGCAAACCCTGCTGGTCCCAGACCTTCCAGCACCCCGCCCCCACAGCCCCCCTCTGTGAACTGAGGTGTTTGCCCAGGGCAGGCCCAACATCTCCGCACCTGTCCCTCCCACAGGGTGTCCCCTGTGGACTGCGTGCACAGCGAGGTGTCACATCTGACTATAGAGGACCCTAACCACACCTGGGACTCAACGTCTGAGCCTAAAACGACGCCGGCCACCTCAGACCTGCCTACGGAGCCGCCCCCAAGCCCCCAGCCCTGCCCAGTGGCAGCCGCCTCGAGCCAGCTTGAGAAGAAGGTTTCTGGCTTTGACTTCAACGGCCCCTACCTGGGCCCGCCCCACAGCGTGTCCCTGCCTGAACTTGTGGACCCGGAGGTGCCCCCACAGACGGGCGTGAGCCACAGGCCGCCGTCCTCAGGGTCGCTGGAGTACATGTGCCTGCCCAAAGGGGAGCAGGTGCGGCTGGTGCCTCTGGCCCAGGTGCTGGGACAGGGCCAGGCCGCCGGGGGAGCGGAGAGAAGGCCCTGCCCCGGGGCTGAGGGGGCGAGCCCCTCCCTGGAGGCAGGGACAGACCCTGCCCCCGCTGCACCTGCACTCAGGACGGGGGATCAGGGTGTGAAGGGCAGCCCCACGGCTCTGTCTAGTGGGGCTGGGGGCCCTGAGGGCGGCGCCGCGGTTTCTGATTATGTCAGCACTGCGGACCTGGCATTCGCCCCACCCCCAGGGGCACCGACTGCCCCCTGGGTGCCCCCTCTGGGCCTCCCCTCAGACCAGAACCACAGCCTCCCTCCCGGACTGGCCGGCTGGCCACCTGAAGCCCTGACTCCCATGACATCAGTGTTTGACAGCTATGTGGAGCTCCCTCCGGCCATGGGCCAGCCCCCTAAGCCCGCCCTGGGCAGTCCTGCCCCTCCCGTAGCCAGCATCCCCATCCTGAGCCCACAGGAGCCCCGGGTAGATGTGACCCCAGTCTCCCCACACCCCGAGGGGCTCCTGGTCCTGCAGCAGGTCGGCGATTACTGCTTCCTCCCTGGGGTCGGGTCTGGCGCGCTCTCACCCAAGAGTAAGTCCCCTTCTCCTGGACCCTGTCCTGAGATCAGGGACCTGGACCAGGTGTTCCAGGGCAAGAAGCCCCCGTGTCAGGCCGTTCCGCAGGTGCCCGCCATTCAGCTCTTCAAAGCCCTGAAGCAGCAGGACTACCTGTCGCTGCCCCCCTGGGACGTGGGCAGGCCTGGGGAGGTGTGCTGAGACCCCGCAGACCCCCCTGGGGACACGCACGTGCAAGGAGAGTGTCCGCCTTCCCTCCCGCCTGCCTTCCTCTCACCAGCCTCCGGTTTTTTCCGCCCTCGTTTCTACAAAGCCACGGAAAGGAGAGCAAAAAAATGAGTGAACCCCCTAACTTCTCCCTTGGCCTTCAGGAAGGTCAAGCTTCCCTCTCCGCCCCCCGCCCCTCCCCCGTCCCACTGACACACACACACACACACAGCTTCCTTTCAGGTTCACCTATTTTTAGGTTCTGAATTATTAGAACATTCCATACACACTCATTTCACGTGCCCTCATTTTCTTTATTACCAGGCTTTTGCTCATTTCTTCTTTCTCTTTTCCCTGCGTTATTATTAGAGTGAGTTTGAGGTCCCAGCCAGGCCGGTTCTGAGAGGTCACGGCTCAGTCAGGGCCTGTTCTGAGGCAGGCACCGCGGGCTGTGTAGGAGGCCCCGTGTCCGGAGCCTGTTTCGGGGAGGCGCCTACGCCAGACCCCAGGCCGGGTGCGGGGGAGGCGGGCAGGGGGGCGGGCCTTGGAGAAGGGGGCTTGGCGGAGCAGCACAGGACCGCACCTGCCGTCCACTTGCCTTCTCCAGGCACTGCAGCCCCAATGTGGGGGCCAAGCACCAGTCTGTCACTCGGAGAAATGGGCGTGGTAAGGGGGCGTGCACGCGGGAAACCTGGCAGGTCTCTGCTAAGCAGCGGGAAGGGTTGGGGCCGCAGGACGTGCACCGAGGAGCGGCCACCAACCTGCGCCGTGGGCCGTACTGCTTCCTGGCGGACTTCCTGCACCCAGGCTGGCGGGCCAGAAAAGTCAGGAGGAGAGGGGCGTCCAGAACCCACGTCTGCTGTAGGCAACTTGGAAGAACTGCTCAGCCAGGGGTTCTGGCCCAAACTGGTCGCCTGCCCTTTTTGCAGAAAGGCCTGCAATGCCCATGGTCACAGCCAAGTTCAAGGGGCTCCTGGCCTACGTCTAGGCCTATAAGGGGGTCACGGTTCTTTTAAACCTTTGCCTTCCTGATAGGCAAACATGATGGCATTAAGTTGTTTTAATTTTCATTATCTGATAACTTTCAAGTTTGCACATACTTTTATATTTCATGGGCCTTGGTTTTTTTGTTTGTTTGTTTGTTTGTTTTTTTACTGGGCTGTGCTCAGGAAGGACTTGGTTCTGTCGGTGCTTGTCTTCGTCTGATGCAGATATTGAAGCTGTTACGTCTTGGTCCTCCACGCACGGTGCCCATTGTCCTTCCCCAGAGTGGGGTTTGCCTTTGAATGTGTGCGTGGGGCTCGTGGGTGCCCGCAGAGCAGAGTGTCCTGTTCAGTCTCCCGGGGAACGCCAGCAGGGCTCCCAGCTCGGTGTCCGATTTACAAGGGCCTTCCCCACTTCAGAAGTGCATTTGTCCTAATTTATTTTTTTTCTAGTTCTTTCTGTGTTTCAGCCTTTCCGTGTAAGATGTTCTTGCTTTTGGAATGCACACATGTGACCTAGAAGGCGGGCCTTCTGCTGTCTCCTGGCAAGTGGCCCGGGGGTCTTTGCATTATTGGTTGGGTTGCCTGTTCTTCACCCACGGGGGTGCAATGCCACTTTTACCATAAAGTCCCCGTATGTGCTTAGGCCATTTCTCAGCTCTCAACTTCCTTACATTGTTCTCCGAAAGGCACCTGCCACTTTGGTCTTTCTAGTTTTAGAACATGTTTCCGCATGTGGTGGAGCAAGCGTCTTTGTCACTTTTTGTTCACAAACCCCTGCTCATCGCAGCAGTGTGTGTGGTCGAAGAAAATGAGAAACGACTTGACTATTCACCAATAGTGACATTAATAACGATGCTTTTTGTACATTCTAAAGTAGAAACCTGTGTTACCAATGAATGAGGTGGGCCCACCTGTATTAGAAAAGAAGTTCAAGATATTAATTCCAAACTGTTTGGACATTGTTACCTGAAACAAAATAGCAATAAAGTGTTTTTTTATTATAAAACCTAGCCCTGGACGTGCGTGGCCGCGTCGGAGTAGTCGGGGAAGGGCGCAACTTGAAACATCCGTTGCTCTAGGAGGGCTGAGTCTGGGGAGAGGCGGAAGGAGAGCAGAGATGCTGCCCGAACAGAGCGGGCAGCAGGGGGCGCTGCTGGGACGAGCCAGGAGGGAGTAGGGGGAGAAGACGAAGGGAGGGGGTGGGGGTATAAAGGGCATACTCATGCTAAAAAAAATCATTGGTTGCCTTCTGAAGTTCAAATTTAAGCGGATGTCCTGTGTTTGCTCCCCCCTGATGAGAGGGAAGGCCCAGGTGAGAGATGGACGGACGGACTTCCCCGTACAGATAGCTGAGCACGGCGGAGAGCTGCTGGCTGGCGGGCGCTGCCCAGTGGACTCAGCAGGATCGGCTCATTGATGCCCACGGTCTTTGTCCTGCCCTTTTGCAAGGGAGGGAACCGAGGCACAGAGAGGTTCCACAGCTTGTCCCAGGCCAGCCGGCCGGCAGGTAGGCGGCCGAGCCGGCTGCCCTGGAGTCTGGGCTCAGGTCTTCCCGAGAGGGAGGTCCTCGGAAAGGAAGTCAACGTGATGGCGCCTGGCACTGAACGTCATAGCCCTCACTCAGCCGGTGCTGGCTGGAGGCAGTCTTAGTCCCCTCCGTTCCTCTTCTGCCCCGCGCCTTCCCACGCGGTCCTGGTGTCCTTCGTGTTCATGGCCACCCCCGACCTGGTTAATAACCCGTCTGCCTGGCTGGCTGCACACACCCTGGCGCAGAGGTGGCACTCAGGACTGTGCAGAATCGGTGAATGACTGGATGAACGAATGAATGAACGAACGAATGAATGAATGAGTGACTCCTTGAGGACAGAGACTCCAGAACCCACACCCCGTCCTTTCTCTCTCTGCTGCTGTCTGGCCAGGCAAAGGACTGGGCGCACGAGCTGGGGAGCCCCGCCCGCTGAGACATCAAGCCAGACGCAGAGTGCAGACTGCAGGGAGCCCTGATGTTGAGAACTCAGGCATCGGAACCCGCTTTTTCTCCTGCCTTTTCCCTGGAGTGGGAGAAAGGGCTGGGAGGAGGAGAGAGGAAGGGTGGGGAACAGTTGATGTTCTCTCCTGACGATTCTTTGATCCCTTCCTGCAGAAAGGGCACACCTGGCCAGGAAGAATGTAGAGTTACCTGTCCCTGGTGGGGAAGGTCCTGGCCTGAGGGCAGGAGTGGGGCTCAGCCTGGCGGTGGGGTGCACCTGAGACCCCAGTGTGGGACCCAGTGCTCTCCGTGCTACCCCCGTGGGCACCACAAACGTGCCTTCCCTGCCGGGGGAAGGGTGCAGCCCGGCCCCCAGACTCCCTGATTGGCAGGAGCTGACCCCTTGCCAGGCCGCAGTGAAGCGGTAAATGGAAAAATGCAACGCAAGAAGTTATCGAAGCAAAACCTTCTTATAAACACTGTCATAACTGCAAACTTTAAAATATTAGCTTTTATGAGCATATTAAAATATGAAACAACGAAATATCTGAAAATTAAATGGTGATGAAGCAGGTTTGTGGGAGGTCCTGGGTCTGGCTGTGACCATCAGCTGGAGGGATAAGTTGGGGAGGTGGCATGGAGAGGAGCAATGCCCTGCAGTGAGTGGTGAGCTGCATACCTGGAGCCGGCCTGTCTGAGTTCAAATCTGAGCTCTGCCACTTGCTGCTGTGTGACCTTGGGCAAGTTACTTAACCTCTCTGTGCCTCCATTCTCTGTTATATACAATGGGATAAAGCGCTTGGGCAGAGCAGGGTTGTAGGCATTCACTCTGTATGATGCAGTTGTCACCACTGAAGGCACGGGTGGCGTCTCAGGTGGCATCTGAAAGGCCCCATTTTTCAATGCCTGCACAACAGTCCCCTCAGCCTGGGCCCCAGCCGCACTTCCTCATTTCATCCACACGGTTGATTAAATAAGTCTCTAAGCCAAGGCCTTCTGTCCCCATAATTGTCCCAAACTGGCCCTGAGGGGAGCAAGTCCCTGGCTATCTACTCTAATCAACTCCACGAGGTGGCGTCCCTGTGGGACCGGGCCCCGCTGGGTGGGTGAATCTCTAACCCACCCGTGCTCCCCTCTCACTTGTCCTGTTGACCCTCACAGTCCTGGCCACTGTCTTTGTGATGAACTGCAAGTGCTTTTCTGGTCAGATCGGGGTCAGAGAGAGAGCTGAGAGGGTGGCGGGACAAGAAGGGCCCTGGGTTCGGACAGGGACCACCAGGGCAGGTGTCCCCTTGAAGGGGACAAGGATCATGTGTTTGAACAATGGGACCCAAAATAGAGACACAGCCATTCTACGTAGGAGGGCCAACCTGGGGTCTCCTGCCCCTGGGGCGGGCGCGTGGTGGGGAGTTCAGGTGGAAGATAAAATGAGATTCAGGTGGATTCCCAGATAGTGAGCTCACAACAGGACGGCTGAGCCCAGAGAAGGCTGGTTAGAAACAGGACCTCCGAAGTCCCGGGGAGGAGCCCAGGTTCTCTTCCCTGGGCCCCAGGGCTGGGCCCCAGGGCTGGGCCGAGAGGCTGGGCCGCCAGGTGCTGTGGGTCGCCGAGGCAACCACCTCCAGCCCAGGAAGCCCTTACCTGGCCCAGAGCCCAGATTACAGCTCCAGCCTCCCCGTGGCCTCCACCTGGCTGTGTCACCAATGGCATGCCATTTGCTGCCTCTGGCCCTCGCGTGAGGCCTCCCCCTCTGGGCACGCGTCCAGCAGATGGCATTTGCCAGCCTGTGCCCCCAGCCCAGCCCCTGCAGGCCTGTGCCAGCCATCACTACCCTGAACCCAATTTCTCGGGTCCACTGATAAATCGGAAACGTCACCCACCAGGAATGGAACATCACTGCAGGTTTATCATTGTGAACGTTACGTCTCGCAACTGTAAGTGTGGGCATTCGCCTGGGCGACCGTGCCGATTTGTCTGTGCGGCCAGCGCCTCGGGTCTCCTCTGCTGCATGCGCCACTGCCGGGGCGCTGGTAAACACCCCCTGTTCTGCAGCACACCCACAGGCCCCCAGCCTCTCGGGGCGCAGGGGGTGATCTGTGGGGTCAGAGCTGGGGCCTCTGTGCTCGGGACGGTGGCTCGGGCAGGTCCCCAGAGCCTGCATCTCTGACTTCTCAACGTGGCTGGTGGCCGGCGGCCATCCCTTCTGAGAGCCTTTCCTTCACGGTGCGCCTCCAAAGCCTCGGAGGAGGCTCTGGGGAGGTCGTGGCTCCCCAAGGCGCTCCTGGAGGTCCGCTGTTCCGCAGTTTGAACACTGAGAACAAAATGTGGGCGGGGCGCCTGGTTTGTCCCTGACACTGTCTCCTTTCCTTGCTCTCTTCCTCGGCCTCACCACGTCCGCCTCCAAAACAATTGACGGTGACCCTGAACTAATTTGGAACTTTGTTCTCTCTGTGAAAGCTGGACAGGGCAACATGGACACTTTGCTTCCAGTTTATTCTCACAAGATGTGAACGATTCTCAAACAGGACCTTTTCTGAAGATCTACGACCTAAAGGGACTTAAACGTCTAAAGCACGAACTAGAATTCTTAAAGGGACGCTGTTCCATGTAAGGAATGCTAGTACTCTCCATCTGCGGAGACTAGAATTATAATATAACTACATCTCTATGTTCTGCCGTTCATTGTTATTCACATTTTATAAGCTCACACGGCTTATATGCCTCCTGAAATTGTTGGCAAATACACTCTTAATATTCACTGTCAACCGATTTCCTGATTCAACTGTTTAAAGCTTTTATTGTTTTCCTTTATAAGATGAACAGCTTTCATGACCATTAATTAGTGCAGCATTTTACTCTGGAAACAATAAAGTGTTCGTGCTTCCACTGGCTGGTTCAGTTTCGGCATAAGAAGTGCACAAGCAAGCACATCGCCGGGAGGCCACAGAGCAGTAGATCGGAACCTCAAGGTCAAGGAGAGTTCTGGAAGGCGCAGCGGGTGACCAGACAATGAAGGAAAGGAGGAAGGTGGTGGGTGTTGCCCAGAGGCGGGGACACTGGGTCGGGGGGCTCAGAGGTGTGTCAGGGAGCAGCATGGGGAGGGCTGTGGGGGGCTGGCTAGGCTCTGTCTCCTGTCCCGAGGAGGAAATTACAAGGGTATGCAACCCATAACAGCTTAAGCTAAGCACGTTTCATGCAGTCTGGAGTACTTGCACTGTATTTAACAATAAAACAGGTCTGTTTGTTTTTTTAAAAAGGATAAAATTTCAATCTGGAAACAAGGAAAACAAAAACCCGGACTGTGATAAATGACCTCAGAGGCCCTCCTTTTATAAAGATCTTTTCTTGTCTGTCTGTATCTGTTTGTGTTTTGCCCTTTTTCTTCCGGCCACGGCACACTCCCGTTCGAGGGTCAACCCTCCGCTCTGTCTCAGTCCCTCCCACTGTCTCCCTCGGACAGTCCTCGCCCCCCTGCCCCCACCCCCCCCCCCCACTGTAGCTCCCCAACAATGACTTGAAATTCTCTTCCCGTTCAGCTGTCTCTCTTACTCTGCTGTGCACGGCTCGAGAGCCCCGGTGAGCCCGGACGTAGAGCAGACAGGCAACAGGTTAGGGTTAAACCTCACATCCCTCTCCGCCCAGTAATTTTCCAGGTTCCACTGAACCGCTTTCAGTGATTATTATCCAAGGAAGACAGGATATCCTTTAAGGATTTTAACTGTCGGAAGAGGTGTTTCTGGCTGCTGGTCTTACAGGTTGACATCGTCGGTCCGAAAGTCTGCAGGATTTTACGCCTCTCGTGTGTTTTCCTCAGGGAACGAGCGTTCAGGCGACTTCCACATTCCCCTTTGGCGAAACGTTATCGGTTTTCCTGCAAATCACGTCTCACTCTGTCTCACGTGCTTCCCTGTGTGTGAAGACGAACGCTCGGCTGCCTCGCTGACCCCTGAGATGGGCTGTGTCCGTTGCTTCCGGAGATGGCCAGGCAGCGCCTCCCACACATGGGCCCTCTGCACCGACTGGCAGCTGCTCCCGTG